TGACATTATTCCTATAATGTTTATACTGGCTCCAGTCTTCACTTAAATCCGACGAAATTGCTTTTCTTTTCAAACGGTCCCTTTCAAACATTTTGTTTTTGATATTCCTAGTAATCCATGCCACAGATGTTTTATTTTATTTTATTTAAATAATTTAATTTATTAACTTTGCCAGATTTAAACAACGTTAACACAAAAAACTGGCAGGGCAATCGCAACAGCTTGCGCCAATTACTGCGATCCCTAAATGTTAGACAAATATACTATATACGTACATAGAAAGAATCAATTACTAACGAACTATCAGATGCAACTTTTCACATTGCGACCCGCAGAACCACTTCCATTTTTGGAAGCTGACTGAGTCAGAAGACGTTTGAAACCCTCACAATCCTAAACCTTCAGCAAAACCCTTTATGTATCTTATTTCTTACCCGTCTTTCCCTAACCGGGGCATGTTTATCAAGAACAGTTATAAAAAGATTTTTCCAACATGCCCATTTATCAATATCGGTTTCTCTGTCAACTAAATACCACGGTAAATTTATAAGGTCGACTTTGAAATTCTCAAAGAAGTAGTATTACATAATTACATTTAGGTTCATTTAGGTACTGTAAGTTCAAAATACATGTACGTCTTAAAAAATAGAATATACAGATCTTAAATTGAACATATCTTTTAAATAACTTGGATAAGGTACAAGCACTTGAATAATATACTGAGTGGACTAATACCCTGTATTCTTCTATCATACAATTGACGGCGTCCCAGTCTTTTCAAACAACTTACAATATGAAAAATCCCTATCATTGTGAATAAATCTAAGCATACGCTTATTTAACGCTTCCAATTTATCAGTATTGCGTGAACTGCAAAAGTGGCACACAGTTGAACAATATTATAAATGTGGATGTATGAACGCCTTATAAAATCTTAGCAATATTGTAGCTGATTACATCTGACGAAATTGATTGTTAATCTTTTTACAAATTTTGGAAATGTAGTCATCAAAACTAAGCTTATTATCTATAGTCATTCCAAATAGATCAGTTGAATCAGTGAGTCCAACCACAACAGAGTTCAGTTGCCAAGTTTGTCTACGTACGTGTCTTTCAATATATATAGCGTTTATATAACCATCAACAAACTCATAAACAATGAACAGTGACAATGTACATTAACCAAGTGGACATTTTAAGGCCGTTTTCCACTTCAATCGTACCGCAACGTATCAAAAACGTTTTGAAATTTCAAAATTTCGTGAATGTTGATTGGTTAGTACTTCCGTAGTACTAGTTGACTTGCGACGAAGTTGACTTGCGACGAACTTTTTATTTTGATACGCGAATACAACCGGAAGTACGTGTTTTATAAACCTCTTTTCAATCTGCGCATGCTCGAGCACCAGTACGTTTCGCGAAGTGGAAAACCGGCTTTACTCTATAGAGGGATTGCCAACACACTTGAAAAATATTAGTCCGTGTGTTGTGACCATAGCTCCGGCGCCCCTGATTTGCCCTGATTTTACTTTTTCTCATGCCAGATGATTTTATTCTTCAAGCAGAGATCCTTGCACATGAAGCTAAACTTGACATTGTTTTAATTCCGTGTCTCAAAGGTTTGTTAGAGCAGATTGAAACCAGTCTAATCTCCGTCAAATTTTTGGCTGGGCATTGTGCAGTATGGCTGTCGGAAAGGTTGGCTTTGAAAACAATTTGACTGTTTAAAAAGTGTCCTCATAGACCATATAAACGCCCTGTTGTAGACATTATGTAGAGCAATATTGTTATGTAAATATTAAGTTTTCATATAATTATGTTAACATTTGAATATCTGAACGGAATTAATTTTTCTGGAAACTCTATGCCAGCATACATGAAAGCGAGGTTGCACATGGAGGATGTGCCTCTTCCCAGAAATCTCCAGTCGAAGAAAATGCAATTTTCGTAAGTTTGGGGGGATGATTTCGCACAATTCTGGTTGTAAAAGTTTTCAATTGCTCCTGAATATATAATTTTGCTGCAAATACTTGATAATGAAATTTCGGCCAAAAGCTATTCTATAACATTGGGCAAGCCTTGTCCCCTCTGCCCTTCCCTCTTGTTGCTTCCTACATAGAACAATTAGAGAGTTTAAGTTCGACTTCCGATACCAATACCGATACTAACAACATGTCATACGCATGCGCTCTGCTCGCAAGAACCACGAGGACAAGTGTATTGGAAGTCACCACTACCGAAGTCGGCCTTGTTTTGGAAGTCGTGGGAACTGTAAGATAAACTCATAAATCGGATATTTCATAATTTTTACGATAAACATGTAAACTATCTGTTTATTAGCATCGCCTGAGTCATGTTTGAGTCGGAATTTTAGCTCAGCTGCCGTCTAGTATATCGCACATTTTCGGTGACGATTAATGTGTTCTATACTTTATCTGTCGTGATAACTTAACGCTTTAAAATTCCCGGTACCAAAATGAGAACGGAAGTGAAGACATCGGTATTGGTATCGGAAGTCGAACTTAAACTCTCTATTATCACCAAGAGAGATTGAAAGTGTTACTCAGGTGATCTCGGAACTCGGAAAAGGCCTGGCACTGGTTGTAAAATAGAAATCCATTTCTGGTTTAAAATTACTCAATATCTCATTAACGGTATTAGATTTCTATCTCGAGTTTGTCCCAGATATTCATTTCCCTGTGCAAGACACAGACACAGATTTTCAAACAGTTTCACAAAAGAATCAGGGCGTGATAAGTGAGTAAGGTACGAAACTGGATTTTTATTCTGTTGCTAGTCCCAGTCCTTTTGCTCACCGTCAGATCACCTGGACTATATGAGGTATCTTAAAATGAGGTATCTTATCTGTAAATTATTGTAGATTAAAACAACCTGTAAGCAGATTAAGATTCTTCATCTAAGATTCTTCACCAAACTCCCATTTAGAATACTGATTCTGGCTCTGATTTCCTTGCAACAGTTGGACTGTGCATCATTACTGGGGAGATCTTGAAATGGGAATGGTACACCATATAATTTAATAACCCTCATCCCTGCCTCTCCCCTTCGCCCAAGCGGAACTTATCCAAGATATCCTTTATATTGCAGTAAACTAATGCAGTGTCATGGCTTCTGTCGATCTGCAAGAAAAGGCAAATTTTACAAGACTCAGTAGACTTTTGGTTGACAAAGGAACTGAAGCTTTGAGAAATACATTTGATGCCATACATCCTCCTGCCAACCTACCGGTAGTTCTCAATGCCAACAGAACTTCCCTTCTAAGGTTAAAACCTCGAGTTATTTATAATTCCCAGTGGGATTTACTGTTCCCTCCATCCGGTAACCCGCCAAACTCGAAAAACTTTGATGTTACGTTACTTACAGTTCTGTTTCGGAACATTTGTGGTTTACCATCAACAGGATGGGGTGCAATGCCTCCGGACACGGACAGATCAATGCAAGCAAATATCGTAAGACTCAAGTTCCTTAGAAATGAAATTTATGCGCACGTGACGGCAACTCAAGTGGATAATGCAAAATTTGAATCTTTATGGCAAAAAATTTCCCAGGCTTTGGTCGAATTGAAAATTCCACAGAATGATGTCGATGATTTAAGAACTTCTCCTTTAGGGCCTGAAGAAGAAGAATATGTGAAAATACTTAATAAATGGAAATCACAAGAAGAGGAATGTATGAAAATGCTAGAAGCCATTGAATGTTCCATAAATCGTTTGACACAGATTACTGAAGAAAACTGCGATGGAATAAAACGACTCCATCAGTCGGCTTTGGAGAAAGACCTTCAATGTTCCATCACACATCCGTCACAAGCTTCCAAGGATACCAATCGTGAAAGAAATTGCAGCAAAAAGAGTGACGAAGATCTCTTGCGAAAACTCGCAAAGCTTAATTTCAAGAGTAAAATTAAACGTAAAGTCGAGTTGTTCCATCCTGGCACGCGAGAGTGGTTATTAAAGCGAGTTGATGAATTTATCGAAAATGAGCAAAAATCAAGAATGTTGTTGCTAACAGCTGGTCCTGGGTTTGGTAAAAGTGTGTTTGCTGCTCACGTCTGTGACGAATTTAAGAAGAAACAAAAGTTGGCAGCTTGTCACTTTTGCGACTTCAGTAATCCAATCCTAAGAGATCCGATGACGATGCTGCAGTCCCTTGCAAGTCAGATGTGTGAAAATGTCACGGGTTTTAAAGAGAAGCTTCTTGATCAATTAAAGCGACCCCATCCCGAAGTCCGAAGCCTGAATTCTGCCTTTACAATATTCCTACAAAACCCCCTTGATGAATTGGAGTTAGAAGAACCCAGTTTAATCGTGATCGATGGCTTGGATGAAAGTGAAGCAGATGATAAGAATGAAATTGTGAATTTGATTGCTGATTATTTCCCTGATCTTCCTCAGTGCATCAATGTCTTAGTGACGAGCAGGCCTGCAAACTTTGTGATTTCCGTAGCAAACGTAAGCGGTGTTAAAAAAATTCATATTGCAATTGGTGATGCCGATAATAAATCAGATCTTCGACTTTACCTCAAAGCTAGCCTTCCACGTCTAGCTGATAGGAACACAAACGATCCCCGATTTAATAGATTCCCAGAAGAAAATTCATTAGATGATTCAGAAGAAGTTTCAGAAGTTGATTCAGAAGAAGATTCAGAAGAAGACTCAGAAGAAGATTCAGAAGAAGACTCAGAAGAAGATTCAGAAGATGATTTTCCAAATTTAGAAGATAGTATGTTTTATGCGCTTGCTAAGAAATGCGAGGGTTCATTTCTGTTTGCGTTTTACATTCAATTCGAGCTGAAAAAACGCGATGACCTTGATAAGATGACGCTTGATGAGATTATAAACTTTCTCCCAAAAACCCTAGATTCCGTTTACATGAAATATTTTAAACGTCTCGAAGACAAGCTTAAAGCGATAATTCCTGACAATCTTGATGTATTGAAAATTCTGGAAATGCTAGCGGCTGCTGAAGGACCTCTTCCCCTCACGTTTGTCACCCGGGCTCTTGGTTTGGCTCCAGATTGTCGTGAAACAAGGAAAATTATCAACAACGTCAAGGAGACGATATCGTGCTTGCTCTACGTTTCTGATGATATGGTGACCGTTTTTCACAAATCCGTTGTTGACTGGCTTCTTGCAGAAGGCTACGAAGATCATGAGTATACTGTCAAGCTCAGTGTTGGAGATACATCTCTTTGGCTAATCTGCGAAAAAATTTTTAACGACATTAAGAAGACAGTTTACTCGGGACATGATTTAAACTTAACTAATGACGTGAAGTACGCTCTGGATTATGGTCTTCGACATCTAGTAGAGTGCAAGATGAGAGAAAGCTTCTTTTGGTTGATAGATGTTGTAATCATACACGCTATTTTAACTGAACACTTCAAAAGTTGGGATAAATATTTATTGTTAATATGGGTAGAAATTCTTAAAGGTGCTGTGGACGTAGATGATAAACTACGAGCACAAATTTCGTGGCATGTCGTTGAAATCGATTTTCTGGAGAGATCCGTTGCACGATCGGTTCGAAATAGATTACCATTGTATTATTTACGGAGTGTTGTTACTCGTTCTCCAGAAGGATATTTCAATGATAATGAGAAGAAAAGTGCAGAGTCGCTTTTGTCAAAGGTCCCACGGTTTGTTGAGTTTAATTTTGATGAAGTGGAAGTTATGCCCCGTTCAGTCTGGTATTGCCGAACGGCAATGATAGCAGATTATTTTATGAGTTCATTTGAAATGATAATAGCTATTGGTTTGTCTCACCGTAAGACAATGGCAGCCGTTGCACGAGGAAATGGAACAATTAGTGTGATATCCGTACCAGGTTTGGTTGAGCTGTGGTCGTATTCAACTGAATACCAAAGTATTTCATGCTGTACATTTGCTCCAGACAGTTCGTTCGTTTTGTTTGGAAAGCTGGAAACAGTTCTGGACATTGCTAAAAGAGAGGAAGTGCCATTTTTTCACGGAAATAAAGAGAAATTCACGTCGTGTGCATTTTCCCCGAACGGCAAGAGGCTGGTAAGTAGCGATGGTACACAAACTATTAAGTTATGGGACGTTGCTAAGCGAAGCTTGCTGTCGTCACTTTGTGCTGATGTTACTGTTAATTCGTGCTCCTTTAGCGGCACAGGTTTGTTTATCATTGGAGACTGGATAGATCAATTTCAGAGTGTTCACGAACAAGATGCACTTTGCGTTTGGAACGCCATTACATGGCAAAGGAGCGATGAGCGAAACTTGCTCGATGTAGTAGTAAACAAAAGAACGGTATGCCATAGTAAGGTATGTCACCGTTGTTTCCGGCCAGGATTTATTGAACTAGGCACTTACGCAAAATTAGCAATCGGACCATTCACACTGTCGGGAGACTGGAAACTATTATTGGAAGCAGGTGTCTACAATGGTGTAGAGTGCATTTTTGCATTGGGCGGGCAACTTTTAATTGTCATGGAAGACACCCATTTCAACATGCTTGATGCCTGGCCTGTTTATTGCCCAGAAACTAACTTGTTCTGGATGAAAATAACGTCGATTGAAGATGATCTATGGTTCTCTGCGGATGAGGAAAAACTAACTATCTTTAGGGCATTAGCTCCAACACAAGAACATCGTTCTCCCCTGCCACGTCCTACTCAGGTTTTTTTGTGTTCGTTTTCTCCTGATGGCTCCCGACTTGCAACCTGTACTGAGGATGGATGTATCAGCATTTGGAATGTCGATACGACCCAAGTTGAACAACGTTTGAAAAGTGATCAAGGCGAATCGTCATTTGCTTGTTGGTGGTCGAAAGACTTCTTGTTCGTGTTTGATTTTTTTGACAGGATTCCCAGCTTGTCAAAATACCCGATGGAAATCAATTTAAAGGTTCTATTCACTCAAAGCCAGCAAGTGTCGCTGTGTCATTTGGTGGACCAGTTCGTATGGTTATCAGGAATTGTTGATTTTTCGAAGGGCATACTCATCTTCGAGTGTGGAGAGAAGCCTGTTAAAGTTCTCGATGTCAACGGAGTTGGGGGACCGCGAATGGTCAACTTACCTGGGATTAAGCCTGGAATGAGTGTTACAGTCTCGGGTGGTGCTTCATTTGTCTTTGGTGCTGATGAATATACGTATTATATTTGGAAAAGAAATGCCCAGGAAGAGCTGGATGACCATGAAGTCTTTTTTCACGAGTCATATGCAGAGCCTGAACGCGATTTTGTATGTTGCTTCAGTAACGATTCAAAAGTCGCTGTTGTTTTTGAAAGTTTGTTGGGCCACACCAAAATATTTGACCTGGAGACCGGTGGTCATAAAAATGTAAGGTTTGATATCCCTGGTGGTTCCAGGCTATTTTGTCTCAACAAAGACAGAGTTGTTATTGCTGCTTTCCGTGGCTTTTTAGTATTTTTTGACATGGACTCTGGTGCTTGTCTCGACTGTTCCTTTCAACGACATTTAATACGAGTTTCGCAAGGAGAACTAAAACTTTCCCCAAACGAAACCATGATAGCTTTTCCTAAGATAAATGGCGATATGGAGTTTCTCCGACTATGCATCCCACAAAGCTCTGTGTTGTCCAGTATTAAACGTCAGGCGTCTACTAAATGGCATAGGGACATAACTGGGTAATGATGAACATACTGGTTAATTTATCATGAGAATGGTTTCCTTTCCGATTTAGTGCTATAAGCGTTCAGTATTACCGTATACTACGCACTGAAGATGTTATGAAAAGGTTTTGTCAACGAGGAACGTTTTAGTAAGTCATCGTCAAACGGATAATTTTCGGGCAGCGGCTAGACTTTGCTTGGAGCCAGTCTAGAATGGAGAAGTTAGACACCTCCTTCCCTCCGCTTGTCTGGGAGTTCACCTTGGGCAAGTGATAGTACTCCCTTGCCTCCCTACCTAGGGTTACAGGTTCTTAACATCAATCAAATATCAAGTAGGAAGCAAACTTTTTTGAGGTATTGACTGTGAAAAGCTAATGGAACAGTTCATGAAGAAAAAAGTCACCAAATAACTGTGACTGATGTCAGTCGTCTCGTGGTGTTGGTGATTTAAAGAGGATAGTGGTACACTGCACTACTGATGGTGATGTAGGTGGTGATGGTTTTTTGTGATGGTCCGTTGGTGATAATTGCGGTGATAATTGTGGTCATGATGATGATTGATATTGCAATGTTGTGATGGTGGTGATGATGATAGTGGTGGTTGTTATAATTGCGATGTAGTGGTGATGCTTTGTGATTATGATGGTGTTGGTTGATAGTGGTGTGATGATAGTAACAATGTGTTGATGGTTATGATATTATCAGTTATGGTGATGGTGGTTGTGATTGGTGGTGATATTGGTGATAATGGTGATTGAATGATGACAGCAAAGTGATGATAATGATAGCAAAGTGATGAAGATATGAACGAAAACATTTGCCTGGTCGCTTCTTTCGCCTGTTTTTCTTGTCAAGAATCAGTAATCGTTGGCAAATTGTAAAACTTGACTAAAATGGTTAAAGCAATGTGGTGTGAATGAAAAAACAAGTCCACGAAACTACACAGGAACTATACATATGTTTGACAGATCGGATTCATAAAACTTGTGGGATCAGAAGATGATTTCATGAGAAATGGTTCAAGTACGTCTATTTTTGTAGAAAATACCATGTTCAATTATTTAGCAAAGATTTCATTCCTGAGGTATTCTGTTCCGGAAGCCCGGAATATCAATATATTCGATGATAATATCGCATTTATTTGGTGAGGTATACAGGTAAGAAAAAAGAAAATCTTTGCTAAATAAGTAAACTTGGTGTTTTCCACAGACAGAAACGTATATTGAGGAAACAACGAAGAATTTATTGTATTTTGAGTGGTTTCCGTCTGTGATGGCGGAGATATGAAATTGGCCTATGATTTCCTTTGTTGTTTACATACAGTGTTTGACATATAGATGTATTTAAGAAAGAAAATAGCTTTCTACATGGCAGGAGAACACACATACGAAATATTGAACTGTCTGTGCCAGTGTAGGTAGTGCCAATAATAACAAAGCTTTCCTGGCATGGATGCAACTACCTGTATCTCTTTTAAATTTCTCCTTATATTTTTCAGGGAGTTGCATCAACGAAAGCTTTGTTATGAGGTATCAAATTTAGTGATAGAGCTGATAGCTTGGTAATTGAACATTATAGTCTGGTTGTTGTAACAGCATTTTAATTAATATTGTTATATAGTTGGTGTCAAAGTTCAATTTTTCTGTTTGCCGATTGGTCAAAACCGTATCACGTGCCGGTCCACAATGAAACATTTATTGACCGATCAATAATAAAATGGGTGCAATACGCATGCGTGTCAACCATGAAGTTCCAAAGTTCATTTTTTAAAATTTTTATTAAACATTCACGGTGTTCCATTTATCCAGTTTTGGTTTCAAATTAAGTTCACTCCAATAACCGGTGAATTATTCATACTTTGACACTTATATACTATATAACAAAACACTTATTTACTGCGACCTCGGGAAAGTAGTGTGTTTTGTGGCCCCTCGACCGCCGTTGTTGCGCTCGGGCAACAACGGCGGTCTCGGGACCACAAAACATACTGTTTCCCTCAGTCTCAGTAAATAAGTGATAAATGTGAATTTGTATCCTACATTTATTCTCGCTGAAGTACAGTTTGGTAAACATGCTTGTTGTATTAAGTTACGTACTCATATCTGTTGTCACTATGACGTCACCAAATTCTAAGATCTGAAGTTTTAAGGCCGATTGTGCCTAACACATAACTCGCCTACGACAACGTACGTGAGGTGTGTCCTTAATTTACACAGTACAGCTCAAGTTGTAAGCAGGTTGCATGCGACAGTTTTAAGAGGCTGTCTCTCTAAGAACCGACCAATGACTCTCGGCTCATAAAATGAAATTCTTCGTTACTTTCACAATGAAATGTATTTACCCCAAGAACAAACAAACAATATTTGGAATTTTGAAATTTTATTAATTTTTAAAATTTCAGCGACTTTTCGGTCCCGCGCCGTTGGGCAGAAAATCCTCTGCCTAAATCAGGAATAAAAATTAGCCGAATTCAAATACATATAATTTTAAAAGTATTCAACCAAATGTTATGATTTTTTGACCCACCAACGTGAAAATTATTCTACTTTGAAACTTGCCTTGTTTTATGATACTTTTACAGAAAGATTATGGCAAACTTTAGCGATAACAAGCACCGGGTGCAAATACGGCTTTGTACGCATATCAAATTCGACTTTAAATTTCTCAAAAGTGGCACCTAACTGGATTCAGTGACTAATATGGTTAAAAAAAGGGAAGTTTGAAGTACCCATATCCACAATAAAACTTGTTACTGACCGCGATTTGAAGACTCGACAGCCTCTGAAATTTGATAAAATTGGCTATTTTGTTTAGCTTCAATTATAGCGGAGTTGAGACGTCAGAGCTTCCAGTCACTTGTAAAATGCGCTGTTGTTCCGTATTTTTACACAAGCCTTTAAATCATCGTAGTTAAGCGATTTTTCTGTGTTCATGAACATCACAAGTGGATTTAATTAAAAAAGATTTCGATCGATGCAGCGAGGTAAACGTGGTACGCTTTTGTATTAAAATTACTACGCGGGGAAAACCCGGAAATTATTGTCAAATTGTCAATGCTGATATTCATTAATCTAAACCCTTATTCTGTGATCTAAACTCTGTATGTCTATTCTGCACGATTGGAAATGAATTTAAACTGGAAAAAAGACTTGATCTAGAAGACTACTATAGATACTGATTATTCAAAAAGATCCAGTTGCAATCGTGCATGCCAATTGAATTGGATTTGGATTATAGTTCGAATAAGGGTTTTGATTAGTGTTTCAACCAGGGCTTGGCTGAAATTTAATAGAAGAGTCATATATGGAATAGTCTCCAAATGACCCCAACTCTATCCTGAGCCCTACCCTACACCCACCCCACCTCTATTGTGATGTCATTTGAGGACCTTTATATCAACTTCACCTGGAATTGTTTAAGGAGAGCTAATAAAGGGTGAAGTTTATTTTCATACAAGAGTTTTCAAATGACGACACAAAAACGCGAGGTTGGGGTAGGGTCGTACTGGGGGTGTGGGTAGGCCAGGGCATGTGGGGACTCTTATATGAAACGTCGACCAGAATAATGGTAGAAACTGTTCACGATGTATTCAAAAAGGGGAATGTTAATTAATGCGTAAATTACCCCAATAAAGTATAGTATCATGTGAAGATATAGTGGGGAATCGAAATTGTCAAATATATACTAATGGAATTGCTGTGCATTACACGGAAGAGAAGCTATAGAAACAAGACAATACGCCATGGTTCTGGTTTTCTGCTAATAAATAGCAGTAATTGTTGCACGATTAGACTGTTTATGACGGGAGTGCCAAAATTAGCAATGACTCTATTTTACCTCGCTTACCTCGCTAACGTTTACCTCGCTGCATCGAGCCAAATCTTTTCGAATTAAAACAACTTCTGATGTTCATGAACACGGAAAAATCGCTTAACGGCTTGTGTGAAGAAAAAAACCCGGAACGACGGCGCATTTTACAAATGACTGGAAGCTCTGGCGTCTCAACTCCGCGATAATTGAAGGTAACAAATTTCAGAGGCTCTGGGAGTCTTCAAATCGCGGTTGGTAACAAGTTTTATTGTGGATATTGGTACTTCAAACTTCCCTTTTTTCAACCATATTAGTCACTGAATCCAGTTAGGAGCCACTTTTGAGAAATTTAAAGTCGAATTTGATATGTGTACAAAGCCGTATTTGGACTTGGTGCTTGTTATCGCTAAAGTTTGCCATAATAGTTTTGTAAAAGCATCATAAAACCAGGTAAGTTTCAAAGTAGAATAACTTTCACGTGCGTGGGCGAAAAAATCATAAAAGACATTGTGAAGTAACGAAGACTTTCATTTTTTGAGCCGAGAGCCATTGGTCGGTTCTTAGAGAGATAACCTCTTAAATTCATTCCCAATCGTGCAGAATAGACATACAGAGTTTAGATTAATAAATATCAGCATTGTCAATTTGACAATAATTTCCGGGTTTTCCCCGAGTAGCTAATTTTAATACGAAAGCGTACCATGTTTGATAATACCTCGCTGCATCGATCGAAATCTTTTTTAATTAAACCCACTTGTGATGTTCATGAACACAGAAAAATCGCTTAACTACGATGATTTAAAGGCTTGTGTAAAGAAACGGAACAAGAGCGCATTTTACAAGTGACTGGAAGCTCTGACGTCTCAACTCCGCTATAATTGAAGCTAAACAAAATAGCCAAATTGTATCAAATTTCAGAGGCTGTCGAGTCTTCAAATCGCGGTCAGTAACAAGTTTTATTGTGGATATGGGTACTTCAAACTTCCATTTTTTTAACCATATTAGTCAGTGAATCCAGTTAGGTGCCACTTTTGAGAAATTTAAAGTCGAATTTGATATGCGTACAAAGCCGTATTTAGAACCGGTGCTTGTTATCGCTAAAGTTTGCCATAATCTTTCTGTAAAAGTATCATAAAACAAGGCAAGTTTCAAAGTAGAATAATTTTCACGTTGGTGGGTCAAAAAATCATAAAATTTGGTTGAATACTTTTAAAATTATATGTATTTGAATTCGGCTAATTTTTATTCCTGATTTAGGCAGAGGATTTTCTGCCCGACGGCGCGGGCCGAAAAGTCGCTGAAATTGTAAAAATTAATAAAATTTCAAAATTCCAAATAGTGTTTGTTTGTTCTTGGGGTAAATACATTTCATTGTGAAAGTAACGAAGAATTTCATTTTATGAGCCGAGAGTCGTTGGTCGGTTCTTAGAGAGACAGCCTCTTAAGTAAGCGTTGTGTAATGTAAATCGGCCTTTAAAGTTACGAGGCTAGCTGTCCCAGCATGCATCTAAATAATATCAAATCATCTAAAAATCATAACGCATCTAACTCAGTGAAAAAAGAACGCGACGTTTTTGTTGGAAAATAGAAATACCTGTGGAGGAGGCTGTCTCGGGGGCTGGCCCTTGGATTTTTAGCTTCCGGGAGGGGGGGGATCAATGGGGGATTTCCATCTTGCACAAATTTTTTTCGGCCGTCATTTGAAGGTATTTTTTAGCTTTTGTCTCCATTCCACATAGTCCGACGCTTGCCTGTTTAGTAACGGAGTTTTGGAAAATATTGCTGACAGCAGCGTAAATTTTTCTGTTTAAACTATCCAATTTGTAGAAATTTTGACAGACTTTAAAATATCATTTCATAAATATGCTGGCTTCAAAATTGGCTGATTGCATACAAAAGGATATTCTATCCAGAAGAAACGGTGCTTTACAATATTTTACACTATATTGTATATTATCCGGCCCTAACGCAGCTATATGATTTATATTCACAATTTCACATCTTCAATCAGGCCTGGTTACATCAGCATCAACTTAACAACTTAATGCCTATAGTTATACCCATCAATACGTAGACTGTGCGTGGTACGTAGAACAGGCAATTGCAAAATACTACAAGAAACAAACTACAATCTTTGCCAAAAACTATGGGATAGCTGGTGTAATTTCACATAATTTGAAAGACATAAGGCTCCCCGTTCCCCCAGTTTAATGTTGGGCCGACAAAAATCTGATGTCTGGTCGCGAGACGCCAACATTGAAACGGGTGGGGGGAGGGTGGAAAAAATGTAGCACGAAATGGTATATTACAACCGAATGCATGTAAAATTTAGATTGCCCCAATCTACAGGGTGTCTAAAAAAACGCTATGGAAATTCAACAGGCTGTTGTGCATTATAAACTTAGCTAAACAATTCAATTTTTACATAGGACGAAAGAGCTGTTATTTAGCTTGATGAGGTTTATCATCTCATTATCTATTGTTTTAATTGCATTCGACGCGCGACCAAAATTCGACGTTAAATAGTTGAATGTCTGGTTTAAATTTAATCGTATCTTCATGCAACCATACATAAACGATATCACAACTAGAATTGACATTTACGTTTAATCCTCTTGAAAATATTATATTGTGTACAATGTGTAGGAATAAGAAATATAACTTGGCACACTAGTAGTGTCCAAACGTACATGGACTTTACATAAATTCTTTCAGGAAATCTTCACATTTCTAAAGAGAAAAGGGAGACATTTAATAAGTCAACAAGATGTGTTCGCAACAGCCAACAGGCTTGTAGCAAGCTTCTCAACAAGTTGTAACAACGCTGTTATTTTATCAAGTTTCTACAAGGTTGTCACTCACAACTTGTTGTGAAGTTGTTGAATTGCACGACAATAACAAGTTGTTGGAACAACTTGTAGCAAGACTGTTGAGTCAACAACCTTGTAGAAAGTTGTCAATGGTTCGTTGACATTACTGTCAACAAGCTGGGAACAAGCGGTGCGAACACATCCTGTTGAAAAGTTGTTGGAACAGCATTTCTACAAGTCTGATGTAGGTTTGTTACGACTTGCCGTTTTTACGTATGTAATAGTATTAAGCTCACCTGTGATTTAATGACACTTTCAACATCCTGTAACGGTAGCCCCACAGACATTTGTATTTCACTCGCAGGACGTTGACCGAAGCAGTGTATGCTTAATATATACCGCTTGTCTTGATCGCTGATTATACATTTCTGTACTATACTGTCACACTGTGGTTTCAGTTCTTCGATACTGGCCAGGGGAAGGTTAAATGAGCTGGCAACTGTACTGTTGTTGTATTGCATGCATTTTAACTGTTGACATACTTGGTGTTTTTCAGACTCTTTCAATACACATTTCTGAACACAATTATTGATGACGTCAGTTACAGTAGGTAATGGTAAGCGCATTACAGGTTCAATGCTAGCTGCACTTTTTCCTTCACAGAAATGTGAATAACATATCTGTGTTTTCTTGCTTTCCTCTACACCACATATTCCACAGGATGGTATAATGTTTTTCACTTGGTTTTCCAGTAGTCCAACAGACTTGGCAATTTGTTTGTTGGTTTGGTAAAGACAGTAATATTGACATGTATCTACTTTGCTCTTTGGTGTGATTTCCGGTGGCGGACATCGCGTTACGAAGTTTGAGACCATGTCTTGAGTTAATGCGGACTTGTTAACTACTGCTACAATATCAGCTGGTTTTGTATAGCCTTTCGCTCTCTCTGAACAAACTCGATACAACAAGGCTTTATTATTCAACAGGCAGTGACCATACCATCCTTTCTCTGTGGCTACAGCAGAAATAATATCCTGAAGCTGTTGTAGTGTGGTATCTGCTACGATCTTCTTCTCAACGCATGACTTAGTGTTGAGATCATAAGTTAAATCTGCTTCGCTATGGAGGACTTTGAGAGTATCTCGACCAGACTTGCAATCATTTATAACAACTGCAATAGCATGCTGTTTGTTGGCAATACATCTGAATCGGAATTCAATTGTGTCTAACGCTTGAATAAGATTCTTCTGTAGTGAAAGTGTGCCTGATGAACTTGAGCTTACAGAACCAATGTTAGCTAGGAAGCTAGTAATTGTGTCAGCGGGACTGGTATCCGTGAAATTTGCTTCCACTGTAAGGTTTTTGATTCCTTCTAATAAATCCAATATCGTGTCGTTGGTCAATAATTCTTTTGCTGGTTCCCAGGTCTATTGAATTGAAATAATTTGGGTGAATCTAAGTTCATTATTATGTACATCTCAATTTATATGTCAATTGCACCAACTGGTCACGTGACCCTACCTTGCTGTGCGAAAATAAACCCTCAAAATAAAATGTGCATCCCGATCGATTCATGTCAATGGCAAAGCGAATATTTGACAATTATTCACCAAAGTGAAGGTGAATAGTGCAATGATATTCACCGAAACGCAGAGTTTTGAGGTGAATATCCTTGTACTCTTCACTGACACCGAGGTAAATATCCTTGTACTATTCACTGACACTGAGGTAAATATCCTTGTACTATTCACTGACACTGAGGTAAATATCCTTGTACTCTTCACTGACACTGAGGTGAATATCCTTGTACTATTCACTGACACTGAGGTAAATATCCTTGTACTCTTCACTGACACTGAGGTAAATATCCTTGTACTCTTCACTGACACTGAGGTAAATATCCTTGTACTCTTCACTGACACTGAGGTGAGTTCTAGCATATACCACAGCAAAACAAAAATGACCATGACAAAACAGAATGACCAAAAAACAACGAAAATCTTTTTTAAAACAATTTGTATCACAGTTTTCATAAGAATTGATATCATGTTTCTCGTCCCCGCCCGCATGGGATTTATGTGCCGCACGAAAATTTTTCATTATTCATTATTTTTGAAAAATAAGCTTAAAAAACACTAAATTCATCTCCAGATCAAAGTCTTATTGCTGTATTCCGCAAGCGCAACTCAAATTGTATCTTTCTAAAGATATTACTCGCCAGAATGCCTCTATTTTTCATGTCAGCCCTGGTATGTAAAGAAATATACTGTAGTCTGTACAGGTATATGTACCTCAAAACATACACAAAATTTACGTGTTGAATAAAATTTGAGGAACGAATATTTTTGGAATATTTCTTGTATTATTGTATACTCTCAACAGGTGCATTTTCTTCCCGGCATGTCAAAATATTATACGATAAGAAATCGAACTTCTGAATGCTGTTTAAATGTGACCTGTTATACCAATATGTACCTCAAAACATACATGGACATTTTCACCAATATTTTGAAAATGGTTACTACTAGCTCCCAAAGATATTTCCCCTTATCATTCATCTAATTTGTCACATTGACCGTACGAAAACGGCAAACGTATACTCATGATTTGCATTCATTGTACTACAACGCTAGCACTATATGTACCTCAAAACATGCATAAGAAAATTGGATGTTGGCAAGGTAAGGTAATTGGATAAGTGGAAAACAATGTATTTCACACATTTTAGGAAAGTGCTTGATACACTGCATGATAATCAACTTCTATGTACCTAACCATCCTAGATTTTCTGTTGGTAAATCTTATAGTTAAGTGATATGATGAATTTAGGATTAATGATATGCTTAATCAACTATACTCCTTCGTACATGAAGTATATTGCATTCAATGCATCAATTCTGTAGAAATTGGGGGCTCAGTTAACTATAATGTTTTTCACCAAAATGTGAAGGATTAAAGTGTAACTTGCCATGGCACCAACAAAGGGAAGACCAAACACACGTGCTGAAGCACGAGTTGCTCGCTCTAATATTAAGAAAAAGGAGGCCCAGCTACATGCTGCCGTTCAATGGTGCAGAGAAAATAATGCAAGGGGTTATGCTGCCCTGAAGACAGGGCTTTTCAATTTGATAAACAGCAGAAGCACAATTGACAATCGACTTGATGGCAAAATTGTAACTGGGTGTGAGAAGCAGTATTGCTGTATACTCACACACTTGGAAGAAGAGTCCGTTGTCAGATTTGTCAAGAATAAGAACCGTTGTCTGCAAGGAATCGACAAGAAACAATTGACAAACTTGATTCTAGACATTCTCAAGATTCGAGACTATGAAAACAAGAAATTAAAGGGAGGAAGGCGCTACACTAACCTGTCAGTGAATGCTAAGAGGGCTCTTCAAAACAAAAAGTTGAGTCGATCATTTTGGAAGAGGTGGGATGCAAAGCATGATGATTTACGAATGAAAAGACAGGGTACTGTGACCATGAATAGAGCAATGAACTGTACACGTGACATGGCTTCCTCTCATCTTGATGCTTTGGCGAAGGAGTTAATTGATGCCGGCATCTTTACCAACACCAAGAAAGTTGCACCTGGGGTGTGGACTGGGCAAATCAATACCAGCAGAGTGTTTAACCATGATGAGACACCACAATTCATAAACTATGGTGTTGATGGTACACCAAATGGGCTTGTTTATGCCGGACGTGGTGAGTCTTGTAAACGAATGATAAACGAGAACCGTGAATATGTAACCATTAACCCGGTGGTTTCTGTGTCAGGGTTTGTTTGCGTTTGCCAAGTTATTTTTGGCACAACAGGCATCACAGATCACATGGCTCCAAAAACAGTCGTTGAGAAGATTGACAACTTATTGATTTCAACGACAGACAACGGGTGTCAGGACCATACGTCACTACTGGCTTGCTACAAGTTGTTCGACAAGTATCTTGATAAAGAAAACATTGAGCGACCTGTTGTTCTTACGAGTGATGGTCATTCCTCACGGTTTGATTACGAAGTCTTGAAGTTCAGCCTTGAGAAAAAGATCCGCCTGTTCATCTCTCCACCAGACACAACAGGGGTCACACAACTTTTAGATCAATGCAACAGGAACATTCATCTAGAGTATAAAGTTGCAAAGGCCGGCCTTTTTACACCGACGATGAAAGTTAATAGAGAAGGGTTTATGTTGTCATTGGCTAACATGTGGGATAAATGGGCAACGCCGACGCTCATTCGAAAGGCTGCAAAGATGGTTGGCATTTCAGCAGAAGGGCTAAATATCAATGACATGCAACAGGATAAATTTGTTCAAGCTGCGAACCTTGTGGAGTGTGAAAGGTCAGAAAACACACCTACACCCTCGTCTTCAGACAACGCACCTTCTTCCACCACCACACCTGCATCACCAAACCATCTTCGAAAAGGGTCTGCCGCATACTGGAAGGCAAAGTTTGAGATGGCTCAGCAAACCATTCGTGATTGCGACGAGAAAAGTATACGGTTAGAGAATATTCCTGGTCTCTTGACGATTCAGAAAATCAAGCCGAAACAGGCATCGAAATCTACACGAGTCACACAAGTTCATGGGTCGATGGAAGGGAAGGAGGTCATCAAAGTGGTCAAGAGAATCAACGGGGATAAGCAAAAAACGTTGCAGTTGAAGCAAGACAAGATGAAAGCAAAGGAAAAAGAGGAAGAGGACTTCTACCGATGCAAAAGAAAATGTGTGTGCAAAGAACATAAATGTCCGGCTACAGACTTGAAGGAATGCTCATCATGTCACTCTATTTTACGCTCCATTTGCAGCAAAGCCTGTTGCAAAATAAATGGCAAGAAACCAGAAATGATATTACCAGCTGCTGCTGTGAACAAGAAAAAGACAAAATGTTTCTAACACTGGGTACAATGCGTTGAAGGGTAATCTTGTCATTGTTAACGCCGTGAAACTAACTTCTAAAAAATAGGTACCGGCTTTCGTTAGATATGCTGTACATGTAGCACAATGTTGTGTGTTATTAAAAGTATTGTGTGCTTTTTGTGTGACATTATCATTCAATACAATATGTGATATACTTCGGAATTCTTTTTATTTTGTGATATTGTTTATTGCCGAATATTGGTTTCATGCATTCTTGTGTTTTAAAACGTTTGTAAGCTTCATGTACAATCTACAAGTATTCAACATTTTGTACCTCAAAACATACAAAGAACGTGTTTTTAATGGTCCCTATATACCACTCAATTATTCAATAATGACGACTGTTTCGTGAATCTTTTGTGTTGAGACATACTGACTGTATATTTGCCTGTTATAACAGATCAAACGTGCTAACTTATATTTAGGGTCACAGCATTTAGCAGCTGTTTCATGAAACATTTACTGGTTATGACAAAGCAAAAAATACCCATCCGCCCACCTGTTGGAGTACAATATGATCATTTCCCCACTTTCGTCAGTTTTCCATAAAGATAAATATCTTATCAATAACATTCAACAGTCAGTTGTAGGCGACAATGTTAATTTACTGACTTATAACAAGTTAAATGACTGTGTATGTTTTGAGGTACTGGGTTATTTTGAGGTACATATACCTGTAGACTGTAGTGTAGGACGAATTAAATTAAAATGAATTATACACCAATTTTTAATACTCCAGATTTTTATGGGGGGTTTTACTGGGTCAAGGAAATTATTGACAAGCAGAATTCAAATACAAAAAATAATGAAAAATGAAAAAATCCCGCTCCAAATTTTTGAAAATTGTGGACGAGAAACATGATATCAATTTTCATTGGCCTAATAGTTGCAAACAAAACAGTATTTACACGCGTTTAGTAATTTTATGCATTAGAAATAGCTTTAAAAGAAAAGAAAGAAAATTTAAAAACATTTTGTGGCTTTCTTCGTGTTTGGCGAAATCACAGCTTCATTTAGTACAAACATTTGCTTGTCTATAACCGGAAGAAAACGGGAATCCATTTTGTTTTTGTCCGGAAGTGAATATCCGCAGCTGAGCAACCAATCAAATTGCTTGAAAAGCACTATCGCAAGTATCTGCTAAATTAGCCATTCCGAAGTTGATGAGTGGACTGGGGACGAGTGTTAAAAAGTGCTCAAATTAAGAAATGAACCAAATAACTAAAAAGACCACCTCAAAATTAGTAAGTATACAAAGTTTGAAGACGTTTACATGAATACCCTTCGAATAATAAGCTTTCGAAAATCGTGAAATTACTGATTAAAAGATTGTTTTTGGGACGCGCGTCCCAAAAACAAAAATTACAATACATTTCATAGTAAATACCACGCTTTTCGAAAGCTTATTATTCGATGGATATTCATGTAAACGTCTTCAAACTTTGTATACTTACTAATGTTGAGGTGGTCTTTTTAGTGATTTGGTTCATTTCTTAATTTGGGCACTTTTTAACACTCGTCCCAAGTCCACTCATCAACTCGGAATGGCTACTAGAGGAGGAAGTAGAGGGCTTCCGTGTCTGGGTTAAACCTTTTGAGATGCGTGTGGAGGAAACTGATAATGAACTTAGAAAGCATTCCGAGACTACAGACCTCCTCTATCGAATTAAGTTTTGTATCCGGCATAAATTATACCGATGGGTAATTACGCATTCAGCTTAATATTTTCCCCTGGCCCAGCAAAGCAAGACAAACTTTTGTTTAGTTTTTAACCAATTTTCATTCAAACTTAACCATAATACTCAAAATTTAATGAATTAGTTCTTGGACAAAGGTAAAAATACCAATTGGATAGGAAGGAAAAAATGTTTAGTATACAATGGAAATGTATAATTTTCACGAATAATTTTTATGAATAAACGTTGACTAACATAGATAATGAGTTATATTGTTATTCTAATGAGTTTTCAAACCATCTATTCTATTAACTGACATGGGGGAGCTCCACATGGAATACGTAAAAGAATGCTGCAACACGCCTGTAAAAAATGCATGCAAAAGCACTAATATGCTTCAACTTCTGAAATTGTCATCCTGTTTCTACCAAATTTGCCATGAATAATAAAACATATTCTTACAAATCGTATGTTTTTTGTTTTTGGAATTGCTATTTTTTGGCGGGTAAATTACGTCACAAACTTGGCGCCTAAAATAAGCTATTGGTCATTTTATAAATCCATTTAGAAGAACAGGCTAAGGGCCGGTACTTTAAAACCGAAATCTATTTGTAAATACAACCATTTTACGGGAAGATGTAGCGATACAAATGTCGAAAAATCCGCCATATTGTTGCTAAAAATAGAACAAAATGGCGGATTATTAGAAATTTTAAGTCATTATATCTTCGCAAGGAATGCTTGTCAGGGACGTAGCGACCGGGCGAGGGGTAAGAGGGTGTAAAACCCCCAACTGTGAAACTTAGGCAAAAATCAGGTAAAATTCAAGTTAAAATTTTGACATTTTCAGGTAAAATGCTTCAAAAATGTAAAACTTTTCTGGGAGAGGACCCCCACCCCCCTTTTCTCCTACAATTTAGTATGACATCGCAAATCAATCACAAAAAGCTTTATTATAATTATTACATTTCAGGTAAATTTTTAACATTGAAATTCAAATTTCAGGTAAAATCCTCCGATAGCCCCCCAACTTCAGATACTTTGCTACGTCCCAGATGGTTGTATTTCGAAACCGACTTCAGTTTTAAGATATCCTTAGTCTGCTCTTCTAAATGGATACATGAAATCACCTATAGGTTATTGTTAATTTTTTGGCGCTAGGTTTGTGACGTAATTTACCCGCCAAAAAGTAGCAGTTCCAAAAACAAAAAACATATGATTTATAAAAAGGACTAAGAATGATATGTTCTATATTCATGGGAAATTTAGTAGAAACGGGAAGAAAATTAAAGAAGTTGAAGCACACTGGCGCTTTTGCATGCATTTTTCACAGGCATGCAAAGAAATTTGCAACAGATTCTCTTGGGGTTCCAGCACATTACCCTGATCCAGGAAATCCTGGCCACTACATGAATGTGTGCAAGACTCTGACTACGCTAAATGATGGACAACAGGAACTTGTTGATGATTTCTAAAACGGTTTTTTAAAGGTGATGCCATTTCATCTGGCGAATAGTGTTGTGAAAGAAGCAGCAAGTCGGTATTTTTGTTGAGGAGAAGCACGTGCTTGAGTATATCAGACATCTTGAGGAACTGCAAGTTGTATCAAAAGAGAATTCCGGATTGTACTCCTTCGATTTCGAATTCTGGGGGGAGAGGCATCAAAAATTTACCAATAACCTCAACAGGGGCCCTGTAAAAATATGAGCTTTTTTCAAGACATCTTCATCCCCCCTCGGCATAATAAATGTACTTTCCCTAACTACCAGTCTACCATACCTGCTTGTAAATATCTTCAATAAGTTGTAGAACTTCAGTCACCTTGATTTTCTCAATCTGATCTCTTGTCCCAGTTGCATTCAACGCTGTTTCTTGCATGTCATTTGTGATCTTCTGACAATCATCTATTTGTTTATACACCGACCACACAGACATAGCTGCAGAAAAATAGCAGAATGTATATATTTGGTGGAAAATGACCCAGTTTATGTGGTAGTATTCAAATATAAGCTGTCTTGTTTTGGGTTGAAACTACTCTTGAAAGATTACATAGGCGTACGAGGCAGGGGGTTTATGAATTTCCTTGACAATGGCCTTCGCCGTTCCAAAACCGAATTTATCTTAATCTTGTTCAGGTAGTTCCGACCAAACCCACGAGAACTTTGTTACCTATCTCATTTATACCCACTTATCATCGTGGTGTAACGTGATATAGTGTTGAAAAATTTACTGTACTGTACGTTATAATTGTACTGTAGATTGAACATCTAGGTTAACCGGCCACGCTGGCATGAATAAGGAAAATACTAGCCATGCACGCATTACTATTTAGCGAATATGTTCAGAAGACAACGCCTAACCCATACGTCAAGGGACATATATACGGTTCAGTAAGCAAAGAAACTCCAAAGTTAGTGCACAGTTACGCAAAATATGAGTAATGCTTTTTAGGCCCGTTTTATACGTCGAATTTTGGTCGCGTCGAATGCAAGTAAGACCACAGATAATGAGATGATAAACCTCATTAAGCTTCATTATCTATTGTTTGAATTGCATTCGACGCGACCGAAATTCGACGTATACTGAAAACAGGCCTTAGGATGCTCCCTTTACAAGCACGATATAAACCCCTGTAACAACCATATAATTGAGATGATCAATTGCGGATATATACACGTGCATGCCATAGAACTTAGAAGACGTACAATATATGTATTTAAGTTATCTGGTGTATGTCTGATTTAATTTCGACGATGGTACAAGCCTGAATACTTTGGACATATAATCAAATGTGGCCCAACGTTACATTTACATAAATACTTATATTAATACACTTGAAATCTTGAATGCTGATACTTCGACATTCATAAGGCTGATTTTCCTTTCAAACCTATCCTTACGAAAACCCTAACGTCACCTCGCTGCAATTTGTCGGGTCGTGAATCACCTTTAAGCCTGTTTTCCACTTCAACCGTATCGTAACGTACCGTAGCATTTTCTTTTGTGTCGACGTCATTAGTTCCACACTGCTGCTCAGGAAACAAAGAAATGCACTACGTTTCGGTATGATACGGTTGAAGTGGAAAACAGGCATTACATGCCGTACGAATGGTACAGTCCGTACGAATTTTTGGCTCTCCGCAATTGGGAGACCACCTATCGTGCTGACGAGTTGATACGGATCGTGAACTTATGTCTATACGGTCCGTACGAATTTGACGGGTCGTAGAGCTGTTTCACGATCCTAACATGTCGACAATATTGGACATGTTTGTTCATTGTCCAAACATCATCACAGGATTGGTGATGATATAGAAAGATATACACTACGTACGTTCTTACCTGTGTACAGACCATTTACAATTGGTCCGACTGCTTTGGAGACAAATCCTTGAGTTTGATGAGCTTTGTTTGATTTATGTATAGCTTTTGCTGCACTTTTAATTTGACTCTGAATTTGCTTCGTTGTAAATCCTTGAACATACGCAAATTTATTGTGGATTTTTGGTTGGGCGAGCCCATGGGGGTTGGCTGCGGTTCTTTGAGCTTCAAATTTATTTTGAAAGTCTGCTCTCATCTCTTTATAAAGCTATAAGAAATAAAGAAAATAAGAAATATGTTCACAAAATATTGAAATTTTTATAAGGAATACTAGAATTACACTGGGATAAATAACTGTGCAACATTTGAGCCAGAGGATAGATCATTTACAAGAAGCTAAAGTATACGAAACTGGCTCTTCAGCAAGTTCCTTTTATGGCAAAACTTGCAGTGAATCAATTATCCTTTGAACAAACTCTTTGAACAGATTATAATATGCTCCACATAAATTTCATTACCTTTTATCAAAGAAAGTTCGCCCGTAGCAACCACGCCCCTACGAGTCAAGTAAGATCTTACGATAGCAGAGCTTTCCACGGAAATGAATCATGATCAACAATTTAT